TTGAGAACCCAAGGTAGGATATTCAACCTCTCATTAATTTATTCAAGTTAGTTCTTGCATGGTTCTTGATTTATGGAAGAATCAAGTCTTGATTTAGTCTAATAATGTTGAATTGGAGCTTAATCTATGCATGCATGTACATGGTCTTGCATTTTGAGGTTGTTCTTCATGAAATTCCACATGCATGTTCATATCTTGAGCTTAGTCCATGAATTCATCTTGTTTTTGAGGCAATTGAGCTCAGTTGAGCAAGTAATTGAAGCTTTGAATTTGATTGAACACATGCATGTTACATTTGAAGTATGTTCTTGAAGTTTGGTTTGAAATTGGGTTTAATTGACTCACCTTTGGGCCTTGATTTTTCAAATTGAGCTTTGAATCATGTTATACTATGAGTTTTAAAGTGTTTTCCAGAAAATTAGCCCAAAAGGATCGAATTTGGTATATTGAAACTTGATTTTGAGCTTGAGGTTCAAATCTGGAAATTTCAGATTTTGGACTCCCGCTCGAGCGGGGTAAGTGGCGCTCGAGCGGGAAATTCGCGTATCTAGCACTTTTATTATGTTTATAGTCTGCTTGAGCGGGGTTTTGCACGGTCGAGCGAGGACTTGTGTCACACGCTCGAGCGGGTGTCGAGCGCCCATCGAGCGTGATTTTCACACATCCAGTACTTTTGCAGTCCGCTCAAGCAGGAAAGTTTAAGCTCGAACGGAGCCTTTTGTTTGCATGTCCGCTCAAGCGGGGAAACCCACGCTCGAGCGGGACCTCTATTTTTTGAAAATTCTGAAAATGTTTTTAAAGTATATCTTTGCATCCTCATTCCATTCTAGGCATTCTTAGGCCTAGTTTAAGGCATCTTAATGAGGATATTGATGTAGAACCACATCGAGTCAAGAAAGGGATTAAGTTATTATTTCCTAACTGTGTAGCTTAGTGTGTGTTCACTCTGTAATTGTGTAGGGTTGGCATCTGAGGACGCATACTAGCTTATCTATAGCCCAGAACTTTGTGAGTAACAATGTTGTAAAGATATGTTCAATTGAGATTATTTTCTGAACAAATGACCATACTACTTTATGAAATGACACTGTTTACTGAATAAATGTTTGTCCTATTTGTGAACTATATTCGTGGCATCCATAACAATATACTGTTACTGAACTGTTACTACTACTGTTACAGAGATCTCTGTTGGTTCCTATGTTTGGGACCACTATTGTTTACTGATATGATGGCCATCATTGACTGTTCGGTCAGTTAAGACCTACTGTACTGTTTTGCTATTGGGTGTACCGCATATGACTATTATAGTTTCTGAATGACTGTTATGGCATGAATTATGAGCCACAAACTGAATGACTGATATACTGATAAATGACTGTTTTCAATACTGAAGGGACATTTATTCTTAACCTCTTTACGCATATGTTATGCACTGGGCTTTAGCTCACTGCTTATATATATATGTAGGTGTTCAGGCACTGGACCGTTGCTAAAGCGTCAGGCTGAGTCCTTGTTTTGTCAAGCCAACCTTTGTGCCTCACTTCGAGGTTCCAGATCTGTTCAAACTAGGGCTTTTCGGGGTGTTTTAGTTTTCCCCCTTTGTATCTAGTTTTGTAACACTGTATAGACTGTTACCGTACTGTTATGGTGGGGACTCGGTCCCTAACCTGAATACCTGTAAATAATGTATGTATGTACTACTTTTGTATCCCATGTGAATATGTTATGAAAAGTCTTTTGCATACAAATTGTCACTGCTCATTGGACATCTTTTAATTACTGTTTTGGCTTCCGCCAGCCCCTGTACTCTGTATTTCTGTTTGACTGTTAAGCAGGCCTTCGGTAATCTCGAATTACTGGCTGGTTACGGTGCTAAACCCATAGGGGTGGGTTTGGGTCGTGACAGAGTGGTATCAGATCGATACTAAATCACGAGTTATACCACACACATGTGTCCAAATGAGCTATAGGATGTCCTAGAAAAGTAAATAGGGCATTGCATGAACATTGATAAGTGTGTGTGGCCAAGACATGAATATCTGTGCTAATGTGCTAATGTGTTTAAGTATGCAACTGCCTATGTTTATAATTGCCATAATTGTCTATAGTGAAATGGATAACGCAAGAACTACTGATAAATTTGAATCATCTGAGGCCAGAATGGCAAGGCTAGAGAGAACACTTGAAATGTTGACTGAGGCCTTAAGGCTGCAACAACAGAACCAACAGTCCCCACCTCCTCCAGTACAGCCAGAGCCACCTATTAATGATGATATAATAGCTCTGACACAGAAGTTTAGTAAGATGAAACCGCCATCCTTTTAGGGAGGCCTTGAACCCTTAAAGGCCGAAGCGTGGGTGCTTGAAACAGAAAAGTTATTTGAAGTCTTTCCGTGTTCTGAAGCACACAAAGTGCTACTGGCTACGTTCGCCTTACAAGAAGAGGCTAGAAGGTGGTGGATGCTAGTCCGTGACACCGACACCGTTATGACTTGGGCTCAGTTTAAGGGAGCCTTTTTTGACAAATACTTCCCACAGTGTGTCAAGGACAGAAAGGTGACTGAATTTGAACAACTGAAACAAGGTACCATGTCCGTGGCTGAGTATGAGTCAAAGTTTACTGAACTCGCCAGATATGCACCGCACATGGTTGACACTGACTACAAGAAGGCCAGGAAGTTTGAAGGCGGCCTTAATGTGGAAATACTGGACAGAATTAATGTTTGAAATTGCTTAAGTATGCGGATGTTCTTGACCGAGCAATAATGGCTGAGTCGGACATCGAGGCACTGAAACAAATTGAAACACCAGCGTCTGAATGACGTGGTAAAAGATGAGGCTTCAAGTTCAAGAAACGCAGAAGCAATTCATCGAATAAGAAGCAGAATACAGGGTCAACACCCAGTTCCAGTCAGGGAAGTGGTTCCATACCGCCCTGTTCTGAATGTGGTAAGAAGCATAAAGGGGTTTGTTATAAAATATCTGGTGCTTGTTACAAGTGTGGCAAGGTAGGCCACATGGTCAAAGATTTCCCTTCCACTCTTCAGGGCAATAGTAAAGCTGCACCAAGCGCCGCAGCATCAACTGCTCCACCGAAACCCAATCCCAAAGCTACTGGGAAAGAGCCTATGAGGCAAGGCCGAGTGTTCGCACTCGTACCGGGAGACGTACAAAATACCAAGACCGTCATGTCAGGTATACTCTCAATTTATGCTCAAAATGCGTATGTTTTGATTGATTCAGGGTCTACACATTCATATGTATCGCATGCTTTTTTGCGAAAATTGAATAGACCATTGGAACCCATGAACTATCTGTTAGCTGTATCTTCACCTGTTGGGGGATCCATGACTTGTGCTTATATGTATCCTGCATGTGAAATTATTGTTGGGGATGTTCATCTGTATATTGATTTATTGCCTCTGAATATTGATCACTTTGATGTGATATTAGGAATGGACTGGTTAACAAAATACGATGCTACCATAGATTGTGTAACAAAACAAGTTGTTTTCCGTCCACCCGGACTGCCTGAATCTGTGTTTAACGGAGTTGGAGTAGTACCTCCCCCATACCTGATTTCATCCATGAAAGCTTTTAAATTGATTAGAAAGGGGTGTAAAGGGTATCTATGTTCTGTATTGACTATACCTACTGATGATAAAACTAATGTGGACAGTATTACTATAGCCAGAGAATTCCCAGATGTTTTCCCAGATGATCTGCCAGGGGATTTGATTGATAGGGAGATTGAGTTCACCATTGATGTGATTCCGGGTACGCAGCCAGTATCTAAAGCTCCTTACAGAATGACACCGACTGAATTGAAGGAGTTAAAAGTTCAGTTGCAAGAACTGTTAGATAAGAAGTGCATCAGGCCCAGTACTTCATCGTGGGATGCGCCAGTCTTATTTGTGAAAAAGAAAAACGTCTCACTGAGACTTTGCATTGACTACCGTGAATTGAACAAGGTAATAGTGAAAAATAAATATCCATTGCCTTGTATTGATGATTTATTTGACCAGTTACAGGGTGCCCAAGTGTTCTCCAAAATTGACCTTAGATCTAGATAGCACCAGTTAAAAGTCAAGACAGGGGACATTGAAAAGACTGCATTTCGAACGAGGTATGGACATTATGAATTCTTAGTTATGCCTTTCGGAGTTACCAATGCACCTGCTGCATTTATGGACCTTATGAATCGAATTTTTAAACCGTTCCTCGATGACTTTATTGTTGTATTCATAGATGACATTTTAATTTACTCCAAAAGCATGGAGGAACATGAACATCATTTGAGAATTGCCTTGCAGACCCTAAGAGAACAGAAACTTTATGCAAAGCTAACTAAATGTGAATTTTGGCTTGACAATGTTATGTTTTTGGGCATGTAATCAGTAAAGATGGAATTTCAGTTGATCCACAGAAAATTGAAGCAGTAGTGAACTAGCCTAGACCGACAAATGTCACCGAAGTCCGGAGTTTTCAAGGCTTAGCCGGGTATTACAGAAGGTTTGTCAAAGATTTCTCCAAAATTGCCCTACCACCACTACAAGAAATTAGTCGTTTAGGAACTAATATTTAAGGACTAATTGAATTTGGTTGCTAAAAATAATCTTTTAGGGACAAATTAAAATATATGATAACTTACTTATAAGATTATAAAAATGACTATTAATATTCTCACTTAATATTTACATAAGTTTTTGAGACTAATAAATTTGGTTGCTAATATATTATTAACCTTTTTAGAGACTAAATATTTTTGTCATTATCAATTAAAAACATTTTGTGACCAAATATTTTAATCATTTTAACCATTAAAAAATCGGGACTCACTTCAGCCCTAACAGGATTTGCTAGCAATCAAAAAGTTGCAACTTTCTTTCTCTCTTCAACGAGTTTGCTCTCTCTCTAGAGCTCCAATACAGATTGGAAGCATCCATGGCATTTTTTCTCAATCTTCTTCAAATTTTGGTGCGTTTCTCTCTCTCTCTCTCTCCCCGCATATACACATATATATGATTTACAATATTGATCCGATCATCTTTTTTTCTTTCTCTTCATCATTTTCTACATCGCAATCTTCAATCAATGGAAGATTTCATCATCGATTCATTGAAAAAGAATCTCAGTTGCCGATTTACTTCTCTTCCGAGTTCTCTCTCACCTGGTATCGAAAACCCTAGGTCAGTACTCTCTAAACTGTTAAAATTATTGATATTTATGAAGTTTAAAACTCTGAAACTCTGATTTCTAAACTCTGTATCAGAGTTTTATATATGAAGTTTCTGATCTTAATTTCTGTAATTTTTGTATCTTTTTGTGTTTTGTGATTGTTGTTCAAGTTTCTATATATGAATTTTTCTATAATTTTTGACTTGATGGATTTGATGAATGATTTTTTTTTACTTCCCATTCATTGACTGATTGATATCAGAAACTTCATAATATGTATATCTGTTACTTTCTTATTTCTTGATGGATTTCTATCTTGTTGGTGTTTGATAGGACTACTACAATTTTATATTTTGCTCACCATGTGTTTGATAATATGCCTAATGATGATACTATGAAAATAATGAGTGTGTTCCATAGATATGAATCACATAGTTGCTTTAATTGTTGGTGTTACACTTATTATACTATAGTGAGAGTTATAACTTGAGTTGCTCAAGTTGGCTTGCTTGAGGTGCACCTTTTTGTGTAACTTAAGCTTCAGATACTTCTCCTTTTTGTGTTTCCTTATTGCTCCAAAGCCTAACATAGTTTTTAAATTTTCAGGAAATAATAAACATATTGTTCTTCATTAGATGTTTCTAAACATGAAAGGATGATGTTTCAGAATTTGCTATCTTATGGTGTCACTTCTTACACATTGTCTTCCATTAAAATGCTTCTTAATAAGCAATCATGCCCTTTCCTTTCATAGGTTAATTTAAAACCAAAGGTTTTACCAAAGCTGTATGTGCAGAGCATCTTGAGTTGAGAAAAGAAATATTGACTTTATTGAATCTTCAGAAACAGGTACTTCTACCTAAGGTTCATCTTGAATTTGCATCTTTTTTCATTGTTCAAATATTTATATAATTAAGTTTGCAAATGTTCTGCTGTGCTTTGACTAATATTTCAAGGTTGTGAATTTTCTTTATTGTGCTTTGCCTTTTTATAGTTTATAGAATCCTTAAAGTGACTTTAGGCCATGTTTGGATCTTAAATTTATTGAGGGAAAGCAAAATGAAATAAAAAAGATAGGAAAGAGACTAAAGTAAAAGGAGTTAAATTTATTTATTTATTTTTTAATGCTTTATCTGATAGAAATAACTTCTTGAATAAACTTGCAATCTTCACATTTACCAGCAACTTATAGCAAATTAAACTAATAAATCTCTAAATTCCTAACTTCCACAAACTTAATATCCTGTGAAGTTCTCTTGTTGCCTTTTGATTTAATATCTTGTGTTTCCTTCTCTTTGTTTCAGATATTGATTGTGGTAGCACTTGGGTTTCAAAGTTTGTCTATTTTATTTGTTTCTAATGGTGATATGTTAGACAATGACACATCGAATGGAATGATGAGAAATCTGCTCCTTTCTTTCTTTCTTTTCCTTTTGCTTATGTTTTTGCTTGGGTCATTGTTTAGATTGAGAAGCTTTTAAAGATGAAGCTATAGAAGAAAAGGGTGAGCAAGCCAATGTTTCTAGTCACTCTCAAGTTTGCAGTCAATGTTTCTAGTGACCTTCAGCAATTCGTAATATAAATTCCCTTGTTTATGTCAAGTTCTTCTTTAGCCATCCTATAATTTTTAATAATTTTAGAATTATACATATCATTCATGGCTCTGTTAACATTTGTTGTTATGCATAAGGGGTTTTGTCTAGTTCTACTCTGTGATGCTTATTCCCATTTTTTTATTTGTTACCTTCCCCAAGTAAGTATGTGAGATTTAGTTAACTAACTCCAAAATCCTATTTGTTCAGAATGATGAATAAATTATGGGCTCGTTTTATCGAGTATAGACCTTAATCTTGTTCGAGAATTTTCATCAGCGTTGGATATCACAACTTTCATCTTATTTTTTAATTGACTTTATTGTATTTTCTAGATGGATGATGATCATTATTCAGAATATGTTGTTTCTAGCATTTCAATATCTAATGATTATCTTATGAAAATCCTGATAATGGAAGGGACTCAGTTTATTGGTGTGTTTTTGTCAAGACTTCTTGTAAAAGAAGGCCACCAAGTATCAACCCTTCTCTTTACATTTTAACATTTACATGTACTGATTTTCTTTTCCCAATTGTTTTAACTTTCTTAACCATCTTTTCCACCTTATGGTGTGCAATTAAAATTGGGTTGACAAATTCCTACACAGATTTATATTTGATGACGTCTTTGACTTTTTAATAAACAAGTTTCATCTATCAATTAGTCAATTCAATGGAGCTATTATTGACAATGATACTTGGAATCCATTAATAAACAGAGGCATATTCTTATGTTCACTTCATTTAAATTATTTGATGTACTAATTACGCATCATATATCTAATCTTATCTACCAACCTAAAATTCGAATGAAAATATGTGCATATGACTCTTTCTGTTTGAACCTGTTTGTTTTTTATTTTGAAAATATGTTCGTATATATATATATATATATTGTAGATCTATAAATAACACAATAAGTAGTTCACATTTTTGTTTGATTGGCCTGCACATTGTCATGGATGCAGTTTTTCTATAGGTTGATTCTTCATCTTCTTCTTCATTTTTTGTAGATTTTTGCTACTTTGAAGACATCGATTGGTTAATTCACTCTCTATCAAGGTATTTCTCTATCCTTCAAGTAGCATTGAGTTTTTAATATAGATTGTAGCCAAAAATTAGTTTTAATGTTGAATTAATAAAATTAATTTAACTCATTCTGTTTGACTTTTGTTTACTTCATCCTTTTGATGTGAATTTTAATTATAGGTATTTCTCGATCCGTTTGATATGAATTTTAATCTAACTCATGTTTGTTAAGGGAACCAGACCATATATGTTCCCTGTTCTGTGTTGGCTGGAACATCTTTGGGGAGAGGTGAAGATCCTTGACAAGGATCTGATATTGGTTAAACTTCACTCATTTCCTCATCTGCAGAATTTTCTTCTTCAAGCTATGCCTCTTAACTGTTTTCTCTATTTTTTTGTTTGCCCCAGGTATGCATTAGATGATATTGGTTTTGGATCTCATGTGCATCTCAGTTTGTGTCAGAGTTGAACCCATATGAATAGGTAGTTAGGTACTAACAGAGAAGTATGATTTTTTACCAGTTCTGTTAAAATATCTTGTCTACATAGAATTATTTTTTAAGCATGCAGTTATATTTGGAAATTTGATGGGTGTACTATTGATCTTGAGGAAAACCTTTCAAGGTGATGTTTCCATCGCTTTCTGTTCTGCATGAAGAAAGCAGATATCTCACAATAATTTCAGGGAGCCACTATTCTGCAGAGACTTTTTCCCAGTTAATCATTGGAATTGAAACAAACAGATCCTTACATTTCTACGTCTCCCTGCAGACTTGAATCGATGCTCCCTTTTTGCTAAATTTAAATAATGCCCTTCTGTGCAAATTCTTTTTGCCCATTTCTTCACTTCCAAATTTATGCAGTTTGAAGGATCAAAATTTTAGTATGTTGTTGGGTTTTTGAACTTCAAATAGATGTGTATTAAATTAACAAAAAATAATATAGTTTGTTTTCTGTAATTTCCTTGTTCAACTGTTATTGGAATGTAGTTATGATTGCATAGTGCCCAATATGTGGAGTGGAGCATACCAGTGCTGGGGAAAAGAGAATAGAGAAGCACCCCTGAGAACCGCATGCCCACCTGGGGTTCCAAATGGTGTTGTGAGCAACTTTGAGATTAAAGCATTTGATGGGTGTGCAAATCCACACTTGGGGCTGGCTACTATAATTGCTGCTGGGATTGATGGCCTTCGTAGACATCTGAGTTTGCCCGAACCCATTGGTAAGCAGAATTATATGATTGTACTATACATCGATTATTTGTTAGTGTTTTTTCTGTACGTTATTTCCAAATATTTTTTTAGACATACCATCCATAAGTCCCCCATGTTTCATGTCCTTACAGCTCTGGCACTTAATCAAAAAAAAAAATCCTTTATGAATTATGTGAAAGAGTTCAGATTCAACTGTATCATTCCTCTGGCAGTGTTCATGCCAAATATTCATACTTGGTTCGATATGCATTAGTTCATGGTATGTGCTATGATGTTTCCAAAAATATAAAAAGTGTTTTCCTCTTTTTTTCCTCAGAAATCTTTATGTGGAATCTTCCAAGGGTCCAAGCCCATCTAGGCCCTTTGATTCCAAATTTTTATCTTCAGATGCATTACTACAATTTGGAGTCTAATAGAAGTCAAATAATTTTTTTTATAAAAAATTTCTTTCAATTTGCCCCAAAAATCTGAGCTTTTATTCGCTTCAAATGCCTTAGTTAAGTTCTTTAAGGTTGATATCCATTTTTTGGATTTCATCTACATCTGTTTTACATTTTTGAACTTTGTTTACACTTGTGATTATGATCATGTGTGCAGGATTTTCATCATTACTCTATGACTATAGACGGTGATAAGCTTTTGTGGTCATGGAACAACTAATTGTTTAGGGCATGTTGCTCTTGTAACTGAACTAGTGAAGAGGTGGTGCGAGAGAAAGACAAAGTTGAAGTCATGTTGAACTAATTTGATCTTGTTTTGGGATTTAACTCATATAATGAACTATGTTGAAGTGAATTTGGATTCTTAGAGTTTTGATTTTTGTTTGTTTTTTGTATATGCAAGAATAGATTTGATCTTGTGTGCAAGATTTGAACTTGTTTTTTTTTCTATATACAGAGATAGATTTGGGCTGTGGATGTCAATTTGTAGCTATGAAATTGAATGTTTTCAAAATGTTATTTCAAACCTTTAGCGACCAAATATATTTGTTGTTAAAATGGTCACTATTTTGCTTTTTGCGACCAAATGGAGACATTTTGTGACAAAATATTAGCGACGAAATATTTTAGTTTTGCACTATCAAACATTTTGTGACAATATAAAATTGATCGCTAATTGTCATTTTTAGTGACATTTTCAAAAATTCGTTGCTAAAGACTTTTCTAGACGCACTTTTAGTGACTTTTTTAGTGACAAATTTAATTTTGTCACAAAAACTATTTAGAGACCAAATTAATAGTTTTAGGGACCAAAATAATTGGTCGCTAAAAGTCTTATATGTTGTTGTGCACTTACACAGTTGACTCAGAAGGGGATATCATTTGACTGGATCGATCAGAGGGAATAAACTTTTCAAGAGTTGAAAACTCGACTAGTGACCGCACCGATTCTTACCTTACCCTCAGGTACGGATGGTTATACTGTATTTAGTGATGCTTCTCATAAGGGTTTGGGGTGTGTTTTAATGCAGAATGGGAAAGTGATTGCGTATGCTTCCCGACAACTAAGACCACACGAGAAGAACTACTCGACCCATGACTTAGAATTTGCCGCAGTGGTGTTTGCATTGAAAATCTGGCATCACTATCTTTATGGGGCGACATGTGAAGTGTATACAGATCACAAGAGTTTGAAATACTTCTTCACACAGAAAGAACTGAACATGAGGCAGCGAAGATGGTTAGAACTGATAAAAGATTATGACCTGCAAATTTTGTACCATCCAGGAAAAGCTAACATCGTTGTAAATGCTCTGAGTCGAAAATCGATTGGAAATTTAGCCTATTTACTCACCGGGCAGAAAGAATTGCTATGTGACCTTGAGAGACTTGAAATTGAGATTGTTTTGGGTGAACAAGGTAGAACCTTAGCTGCTATTTCTGCTCAACCGGCACTAATTGAAGAGATTAAGGAGAAACAGCAACAGGATGACTTCTTGAAGAAGATCATCGAAGAACGGGAATCTAAACCGAGGCCGGATTTCAAATTTGAGAATAATGTGTTGAAATTTCAAGGAAGATTGTGTGTACCGAATGATCCTGAACTGAAAAGAAGAATTCTGCAAGAGGGCCACAATTCAAAATTGTCTATCCATCCAGGAAATATGAAAATGTATCAAGACTTGAAATTGAATTTCTGGTGGTCGCGAATGAGGAAGGAAATTGCTGATTTTGTGTCCAGGTGTCTTCATTGCCAATAAGTCAAAGCCGAACATCAACGACCCGTAGGCTTACTGCAACCCTTACCGATACTGGAGTGGAAATGGGAACATATCACTATCGATTTTATTGTTGGGTTACCTCGCTCCAGTAAAGGTATGGATTCAATTTGGGTTATTGTTGATAGATTGACTAAATCTACTCACTTCTTACCTGTCAAAACAATTTATAATGCGGACAAATTGACTATACTCTATATTGATGAAATTGTGAGATTGCATGGAGTGCCCGTGTCCATTGTTTCTGATAGGGACTCGAAGTTTACATCGAGATTCTGGCAAAGCCTGCAGACAGCTTTGGGTACTGAACTGAGACTGAGTAGTGTATACCATCCTCAGACTGATGGTCAATCAGAAAGAACCATCTAGACTCTAGAGGACTTACTACGGATGTGTGTTCTTGATTTCCAGGGAAATTGGGAAAGTCATCTACCTTTGGCTAAATTTGCCTACAACAACAGTTTTCACTCGAGCATTAGTATGGCGCCTTTCGAGGCTTTATATGGCAGAAAATGTCGATCTTCGATCTGCTGGGCAGAAGTTGGAGATGGGCCTTTGCTTGGGCTCGAGATTGTACAGGAAACCACAGAAAAAGTGAAACTGATTCGACAGAGACTGAAAACCGCACAAAGCCGACAGAAAAGTTATGCGGATGTCCGAAGGCGAGACAGAGAGTATGAATTGGGTGATCATGTTTTTGTAAAAGTGACACCGATGAAGGGCCAGACTCGTTTTGCAGTCAAGGGTAAGCTAGCGCCGAGATATGTTAGGTCGTATGAAATTATTGAGAAAATCAATCCGGTGGTGTATCAAGTAGCGCTTTCTCCTGAAATAGAGCATATGCATAACGTGTTCCATATTTCAATGTTGAGGGAATACCTTCGGGATCCATTCCATGTGATTGAGCCTACCCGTGTAGTGCTAAGTGATGACTACACCTATGAAGAATGGCCTATTCAGATTGTAAACAGACGGATCAAAAAGTTGAGGAATAAAGAGATTCCGCTAGTGAAAGTTGACTGGCAAAACCATGGTGGCGTGTATGCCACTTGGGAAAGGGAAGATGATAAGGTCAACAGATATCCTGAATTGTTCCCACTGAACCCTGTTTTCTTCCAAAATTAAGGTAATTCGAGTTTGGAAGACCAAACTCTTTATAAGGAGGGGAGACTGTGACAACCCCCACCACTGCTTACTGATAACATTACTGATTAGTGCTAATCTATGATTAACCATGTTAATTGACTGACTGACTGAATTATTAAACTGATTGATTGACTGTGCTAGTTTGAATGCAATTCTATCTGTTGACTGTTAAATTATCTGTTCATGTTTTATGTTTTAAACTGCAAATTGAAGGCCTTATCGGTGGCCGAGTCTGAAATTGATTGATGTTTTGTGCTAATTAATATTTATATGATTTTATGATATATTTAATCGAAATGTGATTTGCTATGATTAAATTAGATTAAATATTGATAAATTACAAGAGTTGGCCTTATTTACAGCCTTGCCACTTAGTGGCCCACTCCATATCATATTTTGAGACTTAGAATCAACACTTCTTCATCCATTTGCTTGCACCAAACCGACTAGAGCGAGAGAGAGAGCTAGGAGAAAAAATTGGTTTCATCTTGATTTGCTTAGAGGCTTAGGGATTTTGGAAGATAATTGGCAAACTGAGCTTATAGACTTGTAATTGAGAACCTAAAGTAGGATATTCAACCTCTCATTAATGCATTCAAGTTAGTTCTTGCATGGTTCTTGATTTATGGAAGAATTAAGTCTTGATTTAGTCTAATAATGTTGAATTGGAGCTTAATCCACGCATGCATGTACATGGTCTTGCATTTTGAGGTTGTTCTTCATGAAATTCCACATGCATGTTCATATCTTGAGCTTAGTCCATGAATTCATCTTGTTTTTGAGGCAATTGAGCTCATTTGAGCAAGTAATTGAAGCTTTGAATTTGATTGAGCACATGCATGTTACATTTGAAGTACGTTCTTGAAGTTTGATTTGAAATTGGGTTTAATTGACTCACCTTTGGGCCTTGATTTTACCAATTGAGCTTTGAATCATGTTATACTATGAGTTTTAAAGTGTTTTCCAGAAAATTAGCCCAAAAGGATCGAATTTGGTATATTGAAACTTGATTTTGAGCTTGAGGTTCAAATCTGGAAATTTCAGATTTTGGACTCCCGCTCGAGCGGGGTAAGTGGCGCTCGAGCGGGAAATTCGCGTATCTAGCACTTTTGTTGTGTTTACAGTACGCTCGAGCGGGGTTTTGCATGCTCGAGTGAGGACTTGTGTCACACGCTCGAGCGGGTGTCGAGCGCCCATCGAGCGTGATTTTCACACATCCAATACTTTTGCAGTCCGCTCGAGCGGGAAAGTTTAAGCTCGAGCGGAGCTTTTTGTTTGCATGTTCGCTCGAGCGGGACCTCTGTTTTCTGAAAATTTTGAAAACATTTTTAAAGTGCATCTTTGCATCCTCATTCCATTTTAGGCATTCTTAGGCCTAGTTTAAGGCATCTTAATGGGGATATTGATGTAGAACCACACCGAGTAAAGATAGGGATTAAGTTATTATTTCCCAACTGTGTAGCTTAGTGTGTGTTCACTCTGTAATTGTGTAGGGTTGGCATCCGAGGACGCATACTAGCTTATCTGTAGCCCAGAACTCTGTGAGTAACAATGTTGTAAAGATATGTTCAATTGAGATTATTTTCTGAACAAATGATTGTACTACTTTATGAAATGACACTGTTTACTGAATGAATGTTTGTCCTATTTGTGAACTGTATTCGTGGCATCCATAGCAATATACTGTTACTGAACTGTTACTGCTACTGTTACAGAGATCTCTGTCGGTTCCCATGTTTGGGACCACTACTGTTTATTGATATGATGGTCATCATTGACTGTTCGGTCTGTTAAGACCTATTGGACTGTTTTGCTATTGGGTGTACCACATATGACTATTATAGTTTCTGAATGACTGTTATGGCATGAATTATGAACCACAAACTGAATGACTGATATACTAATAAATGACTATTTTCAATACTGAAGGGACATTCATTCTTAACCTCTTTATGCATATGTTATTCACTGGGCTTTAGCTCACTGCTTATATATATATGTTAGTGTTCAGGCACCGGACTATTGCTAAAGCGTCAGGCTGAGTCATTGTTTTGTCAAGCCAACCTTTGTGCCTTACTTCGAGGTTCCAGATCTCTTCAAGCTAAGGTTTTTCGGGGTGTTTTAGTTTTCCCTCTTTGTATCTGGTTTTGTAACACTATATAGATTGTTACCGTACTGTTATGGTGGAGACTCGGTCCCTAACCTGAATGCCTGTAAATAATGTATGTATGTACTGCTTTTGTATCCCATGTGAATATGTTATGAAAAGTCTTTTGCATACAGATTGTCACAGCTCATTGGACATCTTTTAATTACTGTTTTGGCTTCTACCAGCCCCTGTACTCTGTATTTCTGTTTGACTATTAAGCAGGCCTTCGGTAATCTCGGATTACTGGCCGGTTACGGTGCTAAATCCATAGGGGCGGGTTTGGGTCATGACACCTGACCTGTGATTAGCTGATTAACCATGA